GTCTTTTATATTGTGTAAAGTTTAAAGTAATTTGCTAAAAATAACTAAATGTATACTAAATGTTCATTCGGCACATGAAGCCCTTAATTATATTCTGCTTCTGTATTTATGTTATTTTGATTTTAAGGACATTAATGGAGTGGAGGGGGAGAAAACAGCCGTTTAAAACACGTCATTTCCGGCAGAGGAGGCGTGTCTTAACTTGTCAACTAACCGAAGAACAACAAAAACAAACAGAACGCGCAGGAGGTTCCGGGGATGGTGAGTGTTTGAAAACATTCTGTCGGTGACTGAATTCAACATGTGCTGAGCTCTGTGTGTCGGTGAAGGTCAGTCCGTTGTTAACATCGTCAGAAATCGTCGCTACCTTCACGATCTGCAGCGACAAACCGACATCTCGTTCCAATGTTGCACTTCTCCACATTGACACTTTGGTTTTTCATGTCTTTGATGTGAATAAATATACGTCATCTTTGTTTTGGTTGTTTATTATGTCATTATTTCCCCCCACGAGCGACCTCACGCATCCAGGCCTCGGACACAAACAACCCCCCCGAACCTGCCGTGCTCTGTGCCGTCAACAGCGTTTCACCGAACCTCTTTGAGAAATCTCTGGATTTAAGGTTTCCTTGCTCTTCACTGCGTAAATCAAACGGCCACAGTCATAATAATGAGCTCATTCCAGTCCTTGTGGGTCACAGTTATAATCGGCATTAATAAATTATCAAATAATGTTGATTATTTTCCAGAAAACCGCAGCTCTTTAAAGGGGTTTGACCTTTCTTGGCACTATACCATGGAGGGCAGTAACGAGCAGTTATCAAACAAAGTATTAAAAAAACAAAAAAATAAATGTAGCCAATGTGACGAATTGAAGTGTTAAGAAGTGACTTATGAAATGTGAAAACATTTTGATTTAAAATGTGTTATTTTGCTTAAATTGTCATTTTTGATGTGTCCCTTTTTGTGAAGCACTGTGTAACAGCTGTTTTGGAAGGAGCAATAGAAATATAGAAGGTGCTATAGAAATATAGTTGTAATTATTTTCCAGTTTTTTTCTTGTAAAGGTCAAAGCTTATCAGACGTCATGGTATATGTAACAAAGGTAACACTGTATGTGCAGTTTAGATGGATGGTTTCATAACTCTAGTCTGATATATGTTAATCATTCTCTTGTCCTTTGACAACTTTGTGGAGTTGGGATCTTTCTCTCTGTGCATTTGAAGATATTATAAATCTACACGAACAGAAATTAAATTTCTCTGCTTCCTAACCTCAGTTTTGATGCTCCTCTGCTTGTTTCATCAAAGTTCTCATCAGTGTGTTCCCTCGTCAGGGGTGGAGTTTTGTGATGTGACGTGCTGCTGAAAACGGGCTCTGCTTTGGTCTCCGCTACATCAGAGGTAAGAGACTGAAGATCTGTGTAACGAGAAACTGTCCCTGACAGAAACATCAGACAGACCCGGACGCCACGCTCGGATGTTTGGCAAACAGCACCTCAGGTGGGCTCAGTTTAAGATGATCAGATCACATTTGTCTGAAACTGATAGGGCTGATCACGGGTCGAGAGTCCGGGTCACCTGTGTGTTGTGTGAGAACAGTCAACCAATGTCAATATCAGCCATGCCCATGACATACATAGAAATACAGCCCGACTGATATGGACACTTGGGGGCTGATGTCGATACCGATATAACGCAATGAAATTATACACATACTAATATATTGGCCAATTGAGTCCAAAGATGTCATCATAGAACCCTAATGACAAAGAAATGTAAGTGTATATGTATGTGATCTTTAAATTGTTTGACCAACAATATGAAACCCAAATATATTCATCAAGGCATCATATCCGGAAATTGGAAAAGTGAAATTTTGCCAAGTTTCCTTCAAAGATTGATTGATTATTATATTATCATGATTTCATGTTGTAATCAGCTTTTGGACCAGTTGTTTCAGGAGGAACAGGTGGTGCAGCTTCACTAAGGAGTGCATTAGTGTCAGATATGCACCTGCTCTTGTCAGTGCGGCGTCACTTCTCACATTTCTGCTTCTGTGTCTCGTGGGTTATTTTCTATGATGGTTTATTTTTAGACACTTTAATCCCACAAAACATGACTTAACTTACTGCAAACAGGAGAAAAAAGACTCATTGGATATGTTTGAAGTGACTGATCTAGATGTGATTTACATGCACTTATTAACCTGCACATAAACAGATCCAACCAGTTACTGGACAAATAATTTTGTTATTATAACTTTTCTTACAGTTATTACTATATTGGAAACATGCAAAGTTATTTAGTGCAACATTAAATCAATTACTAGTAATCACCTGTTGGTGGATTTTCTGTCAGTATAGCAACAATATCCTGTCTATAATTTCAACACACTTATTTAAAAAGTGAAACACAGCAGCAATGAAGCAGAGTCTGTTGTAACTGTCGTATTGATGAAGCAGTTTGTAAAATCAAACCCTAAAAAACGCTGCGACTTTCTCTACTCTCTACTCTCATTCAGGGCTGGAACCATGGAATCTTCCTCTGATGAAGAGGAGGTGCGCACCTTCGTCAAAGTCATCAGCGAGAAGTACAACCCAGAGAATTTCCCCTATGGCCAAGGCCTGGGAGTCGTGGTTCTGTCCACTCCTCCCGGATCTCCGGTCAAGGGTGAGAGATGATGCAGGGAGTTGTGTCAGGGTGACGACCCCCCCCACTGTGTTAATGAGCTCTGACACCACTCATCAAAAATACCCAATCACCATCGTTTTCTGTTGAGCCTCAAGATGTTTATCTTTTTCCTGTTTGCAGATCGCCTCTTCCTGCCCAGTATTCTGGTTCTGAACTACTGTGGAATCAGTAAAGCCGGAGACAAGTCGGACATCGCAGCGTTCTGTGCTCATGTGGTTGAACTGGACCTGTCTTATAATCAGCTCAATGACTGGGGAGAGGTGAAGAAGAAGATGCTGTGTGGAGTTTTACTTAGAAAAGTGTTTCTCAAGAAATAGAGCAGAAATTATCTTATTTCTTTGTGCTGCATACAACTTTTAAAATCAGCCAAAAGGTTATCCATTTGTTTGCCAGCAAGATTACGCCAAAATTATTGAACAGATTAATTCAGAATTTAAATTTGTGTACATATTTAATATTTGTTAAATTTATTTTAATTAACCTGGGTCGCCAGATCTGCACCATTGTCTCCAACATCCCCCACCTGGACTTTCTCAACCTGAGCATGAACCCTCTGAGCGGCGCGGAGCTGGAGCCCAGCATGGCCGAGATTTTCTCCAGGGTCCGACAACTTGTCCTGATCAACACACATGTCAGCTGGGACACCGTTCACATGCTCACACAACAAACACCAGAGTAAGTGAAACATGTTAATTGCTGAAATTGTGTTTTTGATGGAATGGCTCTCAGTTTTCAGTCATTTTATGGACAGCAGGAGATTTTCCCCATGAGACACGTTCACAACAACAGGAAAATGTCCAGAACATTCAGGCGAATAGTAGCGTCTAGGTAACGAATGCAGGATGCTGGAAATGTTGTATTAAATCTAATGCAGAAATCTTGTTTTAACTGCTGCACATTTCCCTGCACCTTGTCTTCCAGGCTGGAGGAGCTTTTCCTGTGCCTGAACGGCTACAACACGGTGTCAGAATCCCAGACATCCTGTCCGTCGCTACGCTTGCTGCAGATCACAGACAACCAGCTGCAGGCCTGGGCAGAAGTGAGGAAGTTTGGTTCGATGTACCCGTGTCTGAGGACGCTGGTGCTGGCCAATAACAGCGTAGAGTCTGTGGGGGACACACAGGAAAACCTGCAGCGCCTGTTCCCAAACCTGCGCAGCATCAACCTCAACAACTCAGGTGTGAGAGGGAGAACAGAGACAAGGTGCACTTGCCAGTGTGGGTAGCAGACAAATATGAAACCTCTGTGATGTTGTGTTATGCAGGGCTTAGTAAATGGGAGGACATTGAGAGGCTGAATTTCTTCCCTAAGCTGGAGGAAGTCAAAGCGAAGGGGATTCCTTTATTGGAGCCGTACACAACGCACGAGAGACGCAGCCTCGTTTTAGCACAGTGAGTCGAAAGATTAACATACCTTACTGCAAACGCATGATACACGCACGTATTTATCGTCTTATCATTATACTTTGAAATGAAATGAAACTACAGCTGCTCCCGCCTGCAGGCTGCCATCTGTAATAGTGTTGAATGGGGGTTCGGTGTCTAATGGAGAGAGGGAGGACGCTGAGAGGTTCTTCATCAGGTTCTACCAGGACTGTCCCAAACAGGAGCTTCCTGAGAGGTACTCAAACACACAGTATACATTCATTATGCACATTTTTATCACTTCATATCTAATTTTAAAAGGTATCTCAAGTGATAAATCATGCATTTTTATATGTATATATATTTTATATACTGTTGGTTACAGTAGAATAAGAAGTAGAATTTAGAGGATGAGGCTTTTTAAGTGCCAATACCAATCCCCTATAATGTTGGTATAATTAAGTCTTTATATTATTTTATATATTCACGGTAAGGCTTGGCCTGTTATTACTTTTCCGTTAATCTATTAGTTATTTGTTTATACGTTTTTTTTGGACCAACTCTCTAAATCCAGAAGTCCCTCAGTCCCTCGGTAGATGCCCCTTAACAGTCCCCTTAAACGTACAATACGTAACTTCGACCACTAGGGGTCTCTCAATCAAAACAATAAGTGTGTTTCAGATGGACGTGGTCTGACGGTGGCTGCAGGGGTGGAGTAAAAAAACAAAGACGTGAAGTCGGTTATTTTTTTCGCTTCTTGTAGTGACGAGAACAGCAGCTGATCTCGTATCTTTTGCTAGCTGGCATGCAGCGTGATTTTCCTTCATCATATGTCGTTTGAAGTTAGAGCAGGGACGGGGGAAGCCGCAGGTTAAGCAGATATTTCTCAATTAAATGCGACCACAATGAATCGTCCGGTTATCTTGAATAAAATTGTGTATTGCTTTGGGTTTAAACATTGTTGAAAATATTTTGTATAATGTAAAATGGAAATTGTATAACAATCACGTCCGTCAAAACATGACTCAAGTGTCTCTGTCATCACCTGTAAAGTTCTAACTATTGCAACAACCTCCCCCTTTTATCCTCAATACATTTACAGTAAGTGATACAAAATATGAAGAGCCCGCCCTCCTCTGGGCCGACATTGGTGAAATAATTGCCCACGCTCTTCACCGGCCGCATTCCACTTAACCTCGGCAGAATGCCGGAGAGGGATTTGTGAAGGAAGGTGTAGTCACCGGCTGAGAAACACTAACCTTTGGGAGACAATGCCGCCACTCTCTGCCTCCTCAATGAGGCCTTTGTGTTGGGAATTCTCTGATTGGAAAACTGATACATGAGGTAGCAGGTTGATTTTTTTATACATATATATATATATATACACACAGGTACTCTGTCAACCTCGAACCTTAAGATGAGAGATTGATTATTATCACTTGGAGCAGACGTAGCTCTCCCGTCTTTAAAATGATGAATATATGGTAGAAAGGGAAAAGTTGGGCTTTGGATCATGAAGGTGTATTTTTTAATTGTGTTTATTTTAAGCCACTTTCAAACGGCCTCAGATATTTTCGATCTCCACCTTCAGCTCCATGTCTGGATTTCTTTCCCTCCTGTCGGTAAATGTCACGCTAGTGGTTCTTGGTCCGGGGCCATATTCTCAGTAAAGGTTCTCGAGGTTAGGGATCGCCGTGACTGCGTGTGGGTGTTATAGGGGTGTCGGACACGCTCGGTAAGCAGTGAACACACCGCTATCTGCTTTCCTTTCGTGGCCTCGCTAACCTGAGAGGCCAGAGCTCTGCTGGGCAGGTCGCAGACTCTCAGGTGAACACATATGACACTGGATTTGAGAAACTATAAACACGGCTCAAATAAAAAGCCTTTATCAGACTTATAGAGACAGATATATCTCAAAATAAGAATGGTGGATAATCTTGAAAAGGGTTCAAGGCTGTTGTACGAGGAAACAGAAAATGTGTCGGCGGGACAGGAAGGATTAGTTCCAAGGAAAGGGTGAAAAAGAAGGAGCTGTTTGAAAACGAAATTTGAGATTGAGTGTATCCTGGAAAATAAGTAGTGATGGAGTGAAAATGGAACAGGGGATACTGAGGACCAGAGTCTGGGAGGGAAGAGAGGATAGCAACGTTTAAACTTTTTAAGCAGCTCGTTTTTCACCAGGGGAACCGGAGAAATGACTAAGATCTGGCCTGGATAGTTTCTGAATTAGCTCCAAAGTGTTGTTTTTTTCTCCTGCTCCTTTATCGAAGGATTCTGGGAAAAACAATTAGCAGGCTAGCTTGTTATCACCTGCAGCTTTATTTGCCCCTTTATACCAAGCTTACCACCTTTAAATGAAGCCTTTTAGCTTAATGGCTTCTCCCTAGAATGGCACTTTGTGCACCGTGGCCTTAGAGGAGAATTCCCAGGGTGGAGTGCAAGGTTTTGCCAGAGACTCTGGTTCGGGGACAGGCTTTGTGGAGGAGTTCTGGGAAGGGAAAGGAAATTGCTTTGATTGACCCAGCTGTTAACGTAGCTTTGAAAGCACAGTTCTTTTCTCCTGGATTTTATTTAATCGTTCCTGGGTCCTTATCTCAAACACGCATTCCCTGGAGGTGGATGAGAGCTTTCTCACAGCAAAAGAGAGGAAGACAACTTAGTGTTTCTCTGCTTCTTAACACTCATACAGGTACATTTCCTTCCACCTGTCTATTTGTCCATTCTAATTTACTTATTTATTAAAACAACTTGAGTAGAAACACCAGAAATTTTGAGGAAAATCCCAAGTTGAAGTTAGAAATCTGATAAGAGATGATGTGAAATTGTTGATTGTTGGTTGGTCAATAAAAATCTGTTGGTATGAGCCTTTCACAGTCTAATTGTTATCAGTGGTTATGTTTGCTGGTACAAAAACGCTAATTTTACAGAATAAACTGCAGAAAACAGTTTACAATTTACGTTAAAAATATGCTTATTTTCTTTATTCAATTTCTCTATATTTGTTTGTATTTGCGTTTTTATTTATTTATAGTTATGTACAATAAAATGTTTGGATAAACTGTAAAATATCAAACCTTGATTACTTAAGTCTTAAGGGCTTGATGACGACATCTTAAGAATCTTTGTCAATAATGAAAAATATATATTTCACATCATTTTTTTAGCATCAAAAACAGGAACATTTGATCAAACATTAGTGTGATGATAACGACCTAAAAGATGGAAACCTTGAAAAAGAATTTTAGCATTTGCCCTTGGAGGGGGCAGGGTTAAGGAGTTATAATCCAGCCAGCCACCAGGGGTCGATCCAGATGATTTGGCTTCACTTTGAACCCACTGGCTTTTCAATAGTCTTAACAAGTCAAATGATAAACCCCGTAATGATCTAACCTGAGCCCTGCACTCTGCACAGGTACCATATCCTCGTATCCAAGTATGGTCAGTTGGCCCCGTTGGCAGAGGTGGACCTCAGCCCGCGCTGCACCTTGGTGGATGTTCGCTGGGGGGAGAGGGTGGAGACGGTCAGCCTTCGCCTGGAGCAGACCGTGGGTGACCTAAAGAAACACCTCAGAGAGGTGCTGCAGTTGCCCACCAATGGGATCAGGCTTTTCTACATCAACCGGGAGATGTGCTCAGTGTTGGGACCGGAGGAGTTGAAGTGGGGCTGCCGGGCGCTCCACTCCTACCGCATCCGAGACGGAGACGAGATTCTAGTTGTGCCCAAAGTCAAAAGCCGCTGCAGCTCCACAGATCTTTGAGTCTGGTTTTTAAATGAATAGGACTTAAAGCGTTTTAGATAATAGACACTTTCTGGATACTAGCTTCAACTTGAGCCTTTTGGGTCAGTTGATATTTTTCAGCCTTGAATGTAAAGACGTTTGCTGTCCACCATAATGAACAAGTTCATACAGTAATATATTTGCACAGACAGTAGGAGTTCCATGTTCACACAGTTTATGAGTTTACATCTCATTTATCACAAACATTCTGCAAAACCATTGGTTTTCTAAAAGGAATAACAGCTGCCAGAATGCCAAATTAATGCACAATTGCACATTAATTTTAAAACTAAAACCACTTTATAACCTTATAATTGATGTTTGTCTAGTTAGGATTTAAACCCCTCCATTTATAGCCTGATCATTAATGAAATTGATTAGAAATATTCTGGTACAGAATATAAGTCCTGCGCACCACACTTTCACACATTTTACTAATTATTTGTGTTGAAGGAAATGTTGAAATATATTATATATATATATTTTAAAGAAAGATTAATGTTAGAAAGTTGGATTTAAAAACATCAGCTGCTGCGTTCTGTAGTTTCAACGTTTGTCGTGTTTTTTGATGACTCGGCCGAGTTTTTCTGCACCGTAATCAGCAGCTCGTGTTTTCGCCCCATTTTTTTGTTGGTTTGGAAGATTCCGCCTGTTTACTGCGAACTCTGAGACCAGGGAACAGTCTTATCTGCTCTTTAAATCAGCTGACAAGACTGTGTCTCCATGTGATCTTATAGATGAGGGTGTTATTATTGCCAAGAATCTGAATAAGGTACAGTTCACATTACACACAAATGACTATTATGTCGGCAAGAAATGATCATGTCAGGCTCAGAACAAGTGAGTAAGTATCTTATAAAAATGTTGTTTGCAAGGATTTGAGTTAATTAATACAAATAATACTCTGTTGTGGGTAAATATCCTTGTATAACCCTCGAGCTGTTGCAGGAACCCAGAACGCTCAGATACCGTAGAGCTGCTGCTGCTCAGTGAAGGCACCCTGGCAAAAGTAGGAGTCTTGGGTCCGGGACAGAGAAACAGAAGGAGTTGTGACGCTCAGGTTACCGCAGGTCTTCTGGCTCTTCTGTCCATCCCATGAATGGAGCGGCTCTCTGTCCCTGCAGCTGAGAAACGTTGAGGCCCGATCGGTATGGTAATCACACACCAACCACTGTGTCACAGACACTTCCGCCGTATTTAGGTTAAAATAGGTTCAACCAACAGGCTCTTGACCCTCAGCCATTCACCTCACTGTGTCCTTTATGTTCGCCTCACAAACCTGACACTCGCTGTCTCACAGGATGTGAGCTCGTGAACTTCTGCGTCGGTGACCTTTCTTGCTTAATTGATTGGACTGGGGTTAAACCATACGGAATATTACAAGCAATACATACAATATTATTAGGTTACTCAGTAGAGCTCAAACCTCCTCAGTCCCTTAAATATGTACGATTTTTGTTTGTTAAGATCTCTGAATTATTCACTGGGGAAGTGGTGAAAAGGTCAAAAAACACATAAAGCAAAAAAAGTGGAAAATAAAATCCTGGATCTGCCTCGGGCCATCCATCCTTATTATTGGCCCATGTCTCACCCATCAACAGTGTTAGGTGGAAATCAGGTTTTGTATAATTATGTAGATGAACAAATTAATAGACGGGAGAAAGCAGTAAAAACACTTGCACTGTATGTTTGGAAAGTGCAGTAAAGCTGGTTGTTATCATGGCTTTCGTTATCACTTGTACTACCCGGCCGACTGCTGTTGCTCAACTGCAGATGTGTAATGTACCACAGGTCTGACGGTTGCTCATCGTTATCATTTATTGAGCATGTTTGAGATGTGTTTTCTTGAGCAGTAGGCTGTGAACAGTGGAAACAACAGTGGCTGTAAATGGATCAAACCCCAGTTCACTGAATCTGCACAAACTTGCAAACTTACACACAACTTCACAAGCCAGTGGATCAGAAGCCAGGACTCAACGTATATGAATACACAAATCTTTCAGTTTTGTGTTTGGTACTGAGCTCAAGGCCAAGAAATTCAATTTAGAAACCCTGAGTGCTTTTCTAGAGGGTTGTATGTCTCAAACATCTGGTTTCCTCCCTCGATCCAATGTCAGACATCTGGTTGATTCGAGGTTCTAGATGGAATGTACATGTATACTGAAGGTGTTTCCATGCATGCAGAGATGTGTTCTAGCAATGACTTGGATGTGCGTAGCCCAAACCTGACTCTGATCATTACCAGCATCAATCATGTGTTCATGTGAATTGTCTTGAGGCTTTAAATGCCATGAGTTCATGTTTAGAGGCGCCTTGTGTCAAAACCATGTGAAAATATGTTGAAGTGCTGTGTCGGCCTGAAAGTGTGGTCGCTATCACTCTTCTAACAGACTTTCTTTTTGTAGTAGATAACTGGAGATTTCTTTTGGGTGTTGTCTGACTCACTTGTATTACACTATATCGTGATGGAGTGGATACATGGGAAATAATGGGATGAGTTTTTTGTTTGTGAAGTGGGTTTGCATGTTCAGATATATCTATCCATATATTTGATTTAAATTGTGTGAGATGTGTCCTTTCAGGGAAACAAGGTGTTTATGGGCATTTGTGATTCTTTTTTTTTTTTAATATCTGTTTTCCTCTTATCCTCACCTTTATTCCTCGTTAATACCAAATACAAAACCTATTACCTATTTCCTTATTTTTTTGTGAGCAGTTTGTGCTGTTTAGTACATTGTGTTTAATTTATTTCACGTTTTCTTAGTGTAGTTTGTGTATGTTTCTTTGAGATCATATGGCCATTTCTTCACCTGAACTGTATCATGGTGTTTCACTTCTCTAAAAAAATAAATTATAAATATTACAGTTTATAACATTGTTGGGGTTTTTTTATGGTTCAGGAGCATAGAAATGTAAATAAAGATGGACGATGCATCTCCACTTCCTTCCACTGTCCAGAAATGAAGTTATTTTCACTGCAATCTTGCCTCGACGTCATTTGGAGCCAGAGTCTACACATTAGTGATGGGGGGTGGAGCCACGGGGTCCTGCCAGTACATGCAGTCAGCCAATCTCGTGAGTCAGTCTCAGCTGTCAATCATGACGTTTCACCCTGTTTTTATTACATCGAGAAGCTACTTTACACATTTACAGGAAAACTAGCTGGAAGCATCTAAAATTACACAAACAAAAAAACATTATTTTCCTTGGTTGACATATTTTAACACGCATCAAACATGTAATTATTGCTGAAACTGCTTACGTCAACCGCTGCACATCTTGATTGAATGAGGAGCTATGAGGTAGGACAACCATGTGACAAAATAATTCTTGTTGGAGGCAGCGTGTGCTCGTGCTCAGCATGCACAGCTCTGTTTCACACACTGAATGCTTGGCTATGGAGAAGATTGGATTGTGCGGATGTTCTCTCTTTCTGGCGGGCGTGTTTCGGTCGAGCTGCAAAGAGTCCATTCCATACGTGTCAGGCGGTGTTGTGTTTCTGGGGCATTCCCTTTATTTTTCCCCTCCTCCTCTTCCAACAGCACAGCTCTAATCCTGAGTGTGATATCTATGCCGCCCACCCCTCAGCGCACCCTCACCAGCAGCACCCATTCTCAGAGTTTGGGAGCTGAGGACCCAATGGACCATTCCGTCACAACCGTACTCCTCACATTTTTCACTTGATTGTATCAAGAAGCAGCTTTGACGTTGATTCAGGAAAACAGTATAAGTATAAGGTAGTACCCTGGTCTGGAATAATATATATCTCCTTAAAGTTTATTTTTCAGTCCTAAGTGATTTTATTCAGCTTGCATCTCAGTACTTCATCTCCAGTGGTTCCCTGATTCTCTAGCTTTTAGGACCACCCACCGTTCGGTTGAATGTTTTGGGTTTTATTGAAATGTCTTGAAGTCTATCAAACAGACTGACATAGAAGTTGATGATATATATAAAGGGTGTCCAAAGGACTCCCATCATTCTCCACCAACAGGACAAAGTTTATTTATCTAGTGAAATATCTCAATTGGACGTTGACTTTCATGATCAAGAGAATGAATCTGAATGAATATTGGCTCAGAATGAAACGTCTTTTGGATGGATTGTACACACACATGCATACACATCACATTTAGATGCTGTGCAGAATCCAGACTCCAAGCCACAACGTTTATTAAGAAAAACACCAATAGATTTGACCTGCAAAACTAAAGACATTCCCATTAGCCTTGGTTGAATTTTGTGTTCAATGATATCAAAAGTTAACATGATAAAATACTAAACTATGTTGAATATAGCAAACATTTTAACTGCTAAGTATGTTGACTTTAGCATTAAGCTTAACACTCTGCTGGGACTAAGCCTGAGCTATAAGGACCAGGCAGGTTCCACATATTGATAATGGACATTGTAAATATATACGATAAATATGATGCATTGGTCATTTGTTTGTCTGCTGGTACATACAGGAGGCTTCCAAAAAGGCCACTGCAGTCCACCTGTGTGGACCCCAACCAGTTTCCCAATATGTCATTCCAAGAACATGGCTATGGAAGGTCAGACTTAAATATGATGTATGTGGTTGCATTGTACTAATCACACCTAGCACCTTCTAACGTTAAAAAGGACCCGGTTGTGCAGTTGGTACTCTGATCTGCCCCATTGCATTATAAAGTGGGAATTGAGGGCAGGGGGGGCTGAACAGCGCCCATTGTGTGCTGAGGTGAAGGGGCCGTTGGGGCAAGAAGGTTTGGGTTACTGGTAGCAGGTTCAACCTTGTGAATGGAAAGGAAGGAGAGCAGGGCAGGGCAGAGCCAACCACTGGGCATAGGGTTGAATTAGAGTGGTCCACTCCACGGATTAGGTGACGGCCGAACAGAGCTCAACCGGTTTCCAGTCCAGGACCTTCTTTGTGAAGGTCAGGCTTGATGGATTCTCCAGAACTTGTGACAGCTTGCCACTGTTCCCACACAGTACCGTCCTGCTGCAGGGAACCTTTGATGCAATTTCCCTGTTTCATGCAAACAATTTGGCTCCCCAATCAATGGGGCCTCTTGATGTTGAAGAGTCATGTTTATATAAACTGAGTTCAAGGTCTCAGGTCCTTCCCACCCACTGTTCATTGGACAGATCCAGTTAAGGAATGGAAGTAAGGGAGTTTCAATCACACTATGTGATGCATATAGGACTTAGTGACACCATGATGTCTAATAATCACTTGTAAGCAGACTTAACTATCCTGTGAATCAACTTTTTGCCATCTCATTATTACGTTTCCGCAGTTATGATCGGCTCTAGCCATCAAATGTCTTGTTTTGACCGATTGTTGGTGCAGATCATTTATTTTACCATTCGCACACAATAATGCACTCAATACCAAAATATTTTTTGTTGAGTCAGATGATGACTCTGTGGGTTAGTCACCACAAGCGACTCATTTTACCTATGAACCATCATCATGTGATATGCTGTTAGCGCTCATTAATGTGGCTTCAAGTTGACCACCCAAGTTCAGAGAAGAAAAAAGGAGCAATATGCTCATGTATTATGTTTTATTTTCCGTATTAATTCTCCTGTGTCACAGGGAATGGAAACACAAGGGTGTAAGTGCGAGAAATTTGAGTCTTCCCCACTTCTACGTCCTCAACATTTCCCAAAATACAACCCTGAGATCAGGAAGCTCCCCCGACCCAGTAGGTCATCTGTAACTGTTGATTTTTTTGTCCCTCTTTGTGCAACACTCTCTTTCACATGTTGTTTAAGAGTATGTGAGCATTTACACAACAAGGCGTGGGACGTATAAAAGAAGCCTGCACAGAGAGCCTTGGTGCTGCTTAATGGGAGCCCGGGGCCTGCCCTCATACCTGGAGCCTTTCACACATCTTGCTCCCTGCCTCTCCAATTACTTCCACTGTCCAACTGCAACAAAGACCCATCTGACTGCCCTTTCCTTCCCAGACCCTATCAGTGTGGATCCACCTGAGATTTCCCCTTGCTATCTGTCCAGCATCTATCGTAATGAAGTGTCTTGTGTAACCTTGTAAATGAGGCCGTGCCTAATTAAAAAAAAAGGGGGTACACAGAGTAGCCAAAGTGACTCATGTTAATTCTGTAACTCTACCTACCACAGAGCTTGAAAAGCAAGGTTTCAGACTGTGTGTGTGTTTCTGCTGTTTTGTCCATAAATGCCCCCAAGTGAGACTCTACTACTCAGGTGAGTTTGTGTGCTCAGGCGCCCTGAGATTTAAATAAACTGAGTGAACTCTGGAATAGCCGATACTACAACAAATGCCAAATCAAAGGGCATCAACCCTATGTCAACCTTTTTCTATATTGTCAAGGTATAAAAATTAAAATGCGTAAATTCTCACAGAAATTATAGCCACAAGTGCAGCTGGAGATGCTGGAAGAAATATTAATAACGAAACAAAATTCATTGTTCCAAAAATATAAAGGCCACAGTGTTTCCATCGAATTTTCCTGCAGCCATTTTATCATCATTTGGCCCATTGCAGGTGTTAATGACAGATCCTGCCTGAAAGACTTGACACTCATCCTGTATGAGAGCCTCTCTTTGTGCAAAACATTCCTATTCTCCTGTGTTTAAAATATTTCTACAAACAGTATTTCTCTTTAGTTTTTCCACTTCCCTCCATCTTTTCCAGGTATCTGACCTCCCCTCTACCCACATATTGCTCTGTTTCCACTCCCTCTCTTCCTCAGATTCCTATGCTGTCCCTCCCCTCCACTTCCCTCTCCTCCCCACCTATTCCCTTCCCCAAACACTGATCTCAGATTAAGTTGAACACTATCCCAGGTAAAGTTTTCATCTGCTTCTTTGGGAAAAGCTCTTTCCACAGCCCCAACAGGGCTTTTACAATCTCCACACTTTCTAAGGGTTTCACGTTTTTAAACACCCAACTGAAACCTCTGGATTGTTGCTGCTCCTGCTGGAAGTCTTGTGGATCTGGAATAGGACAAGAGGATCCCTTCTCTGTTCCTTCAACTCCTCTAAAAACTCTCTTGTTTTGTCATCACTTCAGCAAATTTCACCTCCTCTGCTTCCTTCTACTCCCTCTATCTCCACGACCACTCCTTGATGGTCCTCTGCTGGATGGGACACGGCTGTGAGGAGGTTGCCAGGCTAGATTAGACTGGTGCTAAATGTCCGTCTTCTGAAGGCAGGTGAGTGCATCGTTTCCTCCTCAACAGGATTTCTTTGACGATATGATCGTGTGGTGATAGTGTGGCACAAGTGAATCTAAGCTTTTCTCATTTGGTACTTTTTAATGATGCGAAATTGGACTTTGTGTATTTGTCAGATATTTAAGCTCCATTGTTTTGATTTAAATTAATTGCAATAATGTTGATTAAATTACACAGTTTAAGATATATAAAAAGTGTGAATTTGAACTTAGCTAACCGATCTCCAGGGGAAGACATGGGAAGACAATTTCATTTTAGGATTTCTCACAAACCAAAGAGGATGTAAAATAAAGCGTCGAGTATTTGTTTATTTCCTTAATCATCTTGGGACTCCTAATGTTTTTCTTGGGACCCTTTGCTGGGTTATGAAACTCAAGTTTGGAGCCACTGATGATTTAATGATGATGTTTTAAACTCTTTCCACTGATGCTTGAATTAGTCCTATTATTACAGTAAAGCTCTGGATTTAAGTTATCATTTGAATATTGATCTGACTCAAGCTTCAAATGCTAAAAAATCCTCATGAGTGATTTAATTAGTCTCTGATAAAGCATGTGGCTCTTGAGTCATGCCACTCTGAGCATGATCTCAGAGATAAACATGTCAAAGGGTCTTGTTCATCTTCTATGTCCCAGGGGCTTTATCTTAATTGCCCTGCTA